TAATATTGGAAGATTAATCGCGGGCCACATAAATTCATTAGACAGGCTGTATGTTGGCCATGCCTGGTATAGCCACTGTATATGTTAGGGGGCATGGGAATTTTAGAAAGGCTTAGGTGGGGCATAGCACAAAAAAGGTTGGGAAACACTGGTCTAGACCCTAGAAGACTAGCGCCTAGACCAGTGTTTTTCAACATTCTTGAATACGCGACCGCTTTGCAAGTTAAAAACTTCTGGCGACCCCGCAGGGCCATATTAAAACTATTTATATATCAGTGATTTTAAAAACTATGTTTTTAATTTTCTTTCTGTTAAGACCTAAATATCGATTGAAAAACCAATTATACTGTAAAATAAACAGGTATAGCCTTCTCACTGAAATTGTAGTTTTTTTATTGTAGTGTAGGACCTACAAACACTTGTCTTTTTCTTTTATCCGCGACCCCTTGGGGGTCGCAACCCACAGGTTGAAAAGCACTGGCCTAGACAATCAGTGACGCGCAATTAACTGATTGCCCCTGGAAGTCGTATTCGTTGTTCGATAAGCCAATAAAAACCGTAAATTCTCTAAATGTATTTTTAATATCACAATTACATTTCGAATCGCTAGCCACTATATAAGGGCTACAATTAAAAATAAAATAATAAAAGCTTACTTGGTGAAATAGGATGTGTGGTGGATGTACCGGTACATACCTGGTACAAAATATTCTTCAACTGTATGAATATACTTTTAAAGAAAATTATAATAGTTTTGTGAAGAAACGTACAGTACATAAAAATAACATAAATTATTCTTTACTTTTTAAATCTTAAAACAATCCACTTAGTTAAAATTGCTCCCTACGAGTGACTCATGGATGGAATCAGAGACGATATTGGTAGGTGTGCAGTGCGTGCATGCATGGCAAATCCCGGGGGTGCCGATACCGGCTAATGTCAAATGTCGCATCACTAATATATCTCAAAGGAGGCTACAGGGCTGTTATAGATTTTAAACGTTTCTCACCATAGCTGTATAGCTAAATATGTTAAACTTAATAGTCATCTGTTTTCTAACTAATTTTTTTAGGTCTACGGAAATTTCCAAAATTTACAACTTTTCAATCACTCTCATTGAACTGGAAAAATTTGTCTTTATTACATTTAAATTAATATTACAAAGAAATCAGTCCACACTGTACTCGGCTAGATATTGGTTCGGTTAAGTTTTTGTTTAAGTAAAATTCCGGCTCTTTCAGCAGGGTTTTATTTACGTCCCTAATTTCCTAATCTCTTAATTATTTAACTACTACTTAAGTAGAGATAAGTTGAAACCGGTTACTTTGCACTTGAATATTTGTAGTCTTGGGAAAGAAGTGGAAAGACAAATTTTTATGATAACGGATACATAAATCGTAAATTTAAGGAAAATAAATTCTAGAGCTCTTTTTTTTTGTACCATGTGCGTCTCATTCATTAAATTTAGTCGTAAATGATGATGCCAGAGTAACAGTTAATTTTTTAATGTTTTACGTTTTTTTTCTGCATTCCCATATAGATGGGACATACTAAATCGTAATATCACTAGTTTAACATTGAAATCCATAAGTAATACTGTATAAGATGGGAGAGCGGAATAAAAATATCAAATATTTTAATGGATTTTTTTCAACTCCTGTCAACTATACAGAACTATCATAAAAACCTACTGTACCAGTAAATTCTTATCGGTTGGGTTTAGTTATAAGTCTATTCATGATTCACATAATCGGGCGAAAGCGGCCAAATATCTAGCACGCAGGCGGCTAACAGCCCAGAACCGGTCCTGGATAGAATCATTGGAAGCGTTATACGTGTGTAGCTTCCACCAGACAGGTGAGGTTGGTGCTCCGTAAAGCGCATGCGCGAATGCCTATAATCTGGCTGCTTGGAAGCTGACCCGGTTTCGACAATACAGCGCTTCCATTCCGCCACTGATATTCTTATACAGTAGAGCATCGATTATCCGACCCCTGATCAACCGTCACATCAGTTAATCGACCGCATATTAGTCCGCAAATTCAAATGCCCGATAGTGATGTGGCGCTACAATATTTGGCTATGTCTTGGCTATTTTAATAGTATTTTTACGTGTTTTAGCTGGCAACTCTGGCCGACCATGAAAGGGAGCCAGTATTTAAACCAGGCTTAATTTTTAACGATACAATAGCGACGATTATTATTTAAAAAATTTTTTGTTAGGCTTAACATCGATGAAAATTCAACGCGAAGTAGGTTAATAGCGATATACTAATATACTAATTACATGGGATTTACTAATATACTATACTAATAATGTATTTTTTCATATTTTTCGGTTATCCGTTTTTTCAGTTATCCGACCAATCCCAGTCCCCAATTGAGTTGGATAATCGATGCTCTACTGTATTACAATAGCAATCTTATCGTTTTTTTTCACATGTAGTATAGAAATTGTAATACGATACATAAATGCGGTTATAATAAAATATTAATTTTAATTAATCCAAAATACGTTAATATATGAAAATAAACTCGCAATATGTACAGTAATACCCCGACTTACGCTACCCGACTTACGCGAACCCGGAGTTACGCGATTTTCAAATCTCGTCGATTCGTCTTTTGTTTGAGAGCTACGCAACCCTTGATTACTCATTCCCCCCACAGTATTGTTCAGCTTACATGTTCGGATGTGTCGCGCGGAATCCACACATAGCTGCAATTTATTTTGTGTTATTTATTTTTGTGTTTGTTATATCTACGGAGACTCGAGAGACTCTACTATGTCATCCAAACGAAGTAGAACTAATTCTTCTGCATCAAACAAGAAAAGAAAAACTTTATCTTTGGAATGAAGTCATCGTTATTCCTATTTCGTTAGACTTTTCGAACGATTCGTTACTAACGCGTTTAACTCATTTGACTTACGAACGAACCCATTATTAAAGAGTTCGATACAAAAATGAAAATTTGTGAATTGGCAAAGAAGTTTGATCTACCGGAATTCTCGGTCAGAACAATTATAAAAGGCAAAGAAAAAATTCTCGAAGCTGTGAAAAATGCTCAATCTTTAAATTCGAGCATCATTCGTAAACGTCACAGTATTATCGCTGAGATGGAAACAATGTTAAAATTATGGCGTAATAATCAAGTAAATGTGAAAAATTGTAAAATAATATAGGCCTAATTTGTTATAGCTATGTATTATCTAAGATTTTATTAAACATTTTTTTTAATAAATTATTGTTTTCTTTAGTCTCCGGCCCCAATTAAAAATTATTTGTATGTATTTATATGCGAAATTATACCCCGACTTACGCGAATTCGACTTACGCGATCACCGCTGGGTCCCACCTATCGCGTAAGTTCGGGTATTACTGTATTTATATTTTAGAAAATACAAAGAAAGTGGCGCTTCCACCGCTTCCAAGGACGGCACGCCACTGCCGGGTAGCATAACTGGCAACGTGACTTTAATTAATATATATAATTATCGTGTTTTAAAGGTTTACACTGTATATATATATTTTTAATTTATACTCTTTCCGCCCTGTGGGCACTTATAGCAGGCTTATTATGGGTTCTGCCAGGCTCTCAATGGGGGCGACCGGGAGGTGAGGGACGGGGACCAACATATCCGAACTGACCACCCCGAAAAATTTTTGGATTCATATCAATGCAACAATCAATTATTGTTAGAACATTTTGCGTTTTTGTTTTACTATTTTCGTCCTATGGGCACCAAAACGACCGTTATAATTAAGTTCATCCTTGGTTCGGCTAGGTCAATAGCGGGATGAACGGGCAATCAGGGATAGGCCTGAAATATTCGGGACAGACCATCCCCAAAACTTTCTAGAGGTATTTTGAACCGTCCGGACTTGTTCCCGGGTCTCTCAGCGGTAGGTTTTTTTAAAACTCTTTCCGCCCTGTGGGCACTAAGAGGGCCCCTTTTTGCTAGCCCCTTTTATGGGTTCGGCCAGGTCCACAATGGGGCTGCCAGGTGGTGAGAAACGGGACCCGACATATCCGAACGGACCACCCCCGAAAAATTCCTGGGGATTTTCCGACCCGTTCGGATACGAACCGGTTCCCCAGAGCGGTAGGCTGCCATCTTGACCGCTCGGCCATCCGGCCACTTAGCGGTAGGTCTAACACATTAATAGTCGTTCAGCTATTCGGTTGTCTATTAAATGCAGCAATATGTCGTATTTTAATTCTTGAGATCGATAAGAGTTTATTTTCATAATCATTTTCATTGTCTTACGCAACATTACTGAATAATTAATTAAAGAAACTAGTTTGGACAAAGAACTATTTGAAGATAAAGATGAAGAAGAAGGACGTTTTGCTTGGCACTTAAGTTTCGTTATGTACTGTACAATAGGCTTATATTCTTATAAGATTTAGTTTTATTTGAGAGTCAATGTAATCCGACTTATACATATTTCGTTTTACCTTTTAATATTTACACTTAATTCTAGCTCGCTTTTAGAAAAATAAAATTGCCCCGCACTATCTTGTCTTTCATGTTGGGGAGAGCTACTAAACTATGGCGCCCCGTGGTAAGTTTTTCGATGGTCATGTTATGTGGTTAGTAGTTATATATATTTTTTGTTTTATACGCGGGGAATAATACCTTCCGGGAGGTCTTTTTAAGGGTAACTAACCCCTATTCAGGCGTTATAGACGTGGAGAAAACCCGGAAAACTCCACGTGACCAGCGTGTCCTGATCCACGACCAGTGTTCAGGAAACGTAATCGCTTGGCCACTGTTTGGCCTGCCCCGCACTAATGTAGAAGTTGGATAGCTCGGCTATAAAACTATTTGAATAAAGCTTTATTTTATTTTTGCCTTTTTATTAAAATTACTAGAGTATTTCTTATATAATTAGGATTTATAAAGTAATATAAGAAATTAAGAGCAAAATTTTATTAAAAACGTCTTCCAGATATTTTCCTTGCTTTTATGCAAAACAGGTAACAGGATAATTAACAGAATCATAAGGCACCGAATAATTTTTCTCTTATCAAATTTTAAAATAGCGTATAACTTTTATGAGGTGTTAAACAATATAATTTTTTAAACTATGGATTCAGAGATTTTAGACGAAACTTGGATTATAACTTTTCCAAACAGCACTTTGAAATTTTGTGTTAGCAAAAATCTTTTGACTTCAGAAAGTAGTAAATTTCAAGAAATGATTTATTCTGCAGAAAGAGAAAATAATAACTCGATTTTACTGGATGACGATACTAGAGTGGTTGATAATGCTTTAAGGTAGGATTAATTATTTATTTTTTGTAACTACTGTATTAGATGTGATTTACTTTTTAAAAAGTTCTGATTAAGAAAAGTATAGCTATTTTTATTTCATTAGCTCTTATCTGTATCATATCACATAATGCTAAGTAAATCTAATTGGCTAGGAGGACGGAACAAGAATTTTCCGAATGATGAACAATGTACTGAGTCATAGCTGACTAAGGAAATTAGACTGATCGTGTATAAAGATGACAAATGACATAATCATAATTTTATGGCTATTATAAAACATACATTTTGCCTAGCACAGCTGACATCTTGCAAATTGCAAATGCAAATATAAGTTAGCATAAACAGACTGACTGAAATAGTAAGAATTCTAACAGTAGGAGGAGTCAAGTACTTAGAAACTAGTTCAGCATCTCAGCATTTAGCAAGAATTCTACAACAGTAAATACTCATCTCGCGCATCATAATAGCGAGGTTGAGGCCGAAGTTTTAAACGCGAAAACGTGTACGTCGAACGTTCAGTGCAGCTTTCCTGTAAGCCTAGAAGTTTGGCAATGGTATTTGGAATGTCGAGCATGATTCCACTGACTATCCAAACACCATTGTCAAACTTTTCGGCCTCAGCCTCGCTATTAACTATACCAGTAGAGACTTCTAAGAAAATAAAATTTGGAAAGCATAAATTATGAACATAGGATGACAGATCTGACATAATTTAACAGTATATAAGAATTTTAGTGGAATCTAAATACGTTAGGATGAAAACTTATTTGATTTAATAAAATTCCAATTTAAATACAGTAGATTTCGCTAACCCAGCCATTTCTTGCACAGGATATCCAGATTAACGAGAGTGCTGGATTACTGAGAGCATATAGATCTGTGTTTCCCTTTTCCGTGAAAATATTAATCATGTCACACATCCTATTCATTAGGGTTTCATTTCTGTATACACTATACAGTATTGCGTTTCAGCACTCCGTATTATCTGCCCGCCTGTCTCCAAAAAGATCAGTACCAAAGGGCGACAGGTCACGTCATTTATTGACTTTAGGTCTATGGACTCGCAGTAATCCGGCATTCTCACTAATCTGGAGACCCTTTCTGCAAGGAATGGCTGTATTAGCGAAAATCTACCGTATTTATGCCGGATAACTGAGAGCCGGATTAGCTAGGGTTTGCTGTGTATACAATCTAACACAATTTAAAAAACTTGAATGTTATTCATTCTAAGGACCTTATAAAAATAACACATTTAAAAGTTTAAAACTTCTTGGAACTTTAACATGTAAAGCTTTTAATATTACCTAAATCTAACCTAAATATTATAACCTAATACAATCTAACCTAAATCTAAAGTATTAAAATACTTTAGATTATTAAAGTATTATAAAGTATTATAAATTATTAAAGATAATATTAAAGTATTAAAATACTTTAGATTTAGGTTATAAATTATAGAGAGGATATAAATTAAATTTATAGTTTACTTTATCTGTTTCTCAATGGATAATCCGAGTAAATCAACCAACCATGTACTGTACACGGTGTTTATAATTAAGGTTCCACTTTGAAATGGCCATAAAATGAAAACTACTGGACAGAATGTTATCAAACTTAGTAATAGTGTACAGGATGTCATCAGTTTTAAAACGAAACTGCTTGTGAGGTTACTCCTGATATGCTAAGAGCTACTGTTGAGAACACAGTAATGCGATGTAACTTGCTTATCAACAATGGTGGACACCACATTAAACATGCTCTCTAACGCGTTTTAAAACCGATTAAAACATTTTCAACGATGTCTTCATGTCTTATTTCGTTTAACAATATTGCAGACAGTGCCATTTCCCGTTGGTGAGTTTTTGAACTATTTTTTTTTCGCGAGAAATAAAATCCCATGACATCCTGTACACTATTACCAAGTTTGATAACATTCTGTCCAGTAGTTTTCATTTTATGGCCATTTCAAAGTGGAATTTTAATTATAAACACTCTGTAATATAGAAAATTCATTTGCTTTAGTTGCTTTTTTTAAATTTTATACATACTATATATAAATTATATAATGTTTATATTTATCTATATCTATATATAAAAATGGACATGTATGTCCCTATATTTCACTTTTTCGCAAAAACTACACATCGCACGTGAATGGTGTTTGTATGTGGTGATAGCCCCAAGTCTCCATTCGTGCATAGGGGTGGTTGCGTCTCGATAGCTATAAGGGTGCGGGAGATATGAGGCTGAAAGTGGTTGAAAGTGGCTTTCTATTTCGAATGTTTTGTTCGAATTTAATTCGAACATAAAATTCGAATTTGTTCGAATTAAATTCGAACATAAAATTCGAATATTGGTTCGATTATAGAACGATTGTAAACGTTCCAGAAACGTTGAAAATAGTTCGTTTGACTGGACGTGAACAGGAGACGTTCAGAAATAGAATCGGGACCAGGTCTCTAATTAGTCTGGAAACCGGGGATCTAATTCTTGCATTCTGTGAAAACGGGTAAGATTGACTATAATGTAATTATCTTAATCTTCACTATCGTTACTTTTTGCCCACAAAATAAAAACCCAGCGAAGCGGGTCCTTGCAGCTATATTCTAGATTACTTAGAAAAACAGTCTTTTATATATAAAGACAAACTATTACATACAAATAATAACCCAGCGAAGCGGGTCCTTGCAGCTAGTTATATATATAAATATATAGGCTATACAGGGTGTATCAGAATGACGTTTTATAATTTTGGAAAATCGTAGAGGATGAAATTTTGAACGTTTTGATATAAGAAACTCATAGTCGGAAATGTGATTTAAAGTTTCTATAGCGGTAAGAAGTGCTTGACCGCCCTTCACTTTAGTAGCTACCCTTCTGTCCATTACATCATGCTATTGTTCTAGACTTCTTCCTCTGGGATTATGTAAAGTCCCTTGTGTACGCAACACCTGTAGGAACAGTTCATGAGCTTACGAAGCTCATCTTTACAGTATTTAATACTATCAGAGGGGAGCGTGTCATCTTACAGAGAGTCGGACAAAACATGGTTCGTCGTTACACATTATGTAACGAAGTTGGTGGTCGTCACATTGAACATTTACTCCTAAAGAAGTGCAGCCACTGATTCGATGTACAGTTTGATTGTACTCTACTGTTTTGTCAATAAAACTTGTAAATACTGTATTCTGCTGTTTCATTCAGCATAACGACTGCAAAGTGCAAAGTGCTGTAGAAACTTTATATCACATTTCCGGTTATGGGTTCCTTATATCAAAACGTTCAAAATTTCATCCTCTACAATCCCCCAAATTTTTAAAACCTCATTCTGATACACTCTGTATATATAATAAATTTAAAACATATAAACAATAAATAAAATACGTAAATACCGTGTAATAAAATGAAAACNCCCCCAAATTTTTAAAACCTCATTCTGATACACTCTGTATATATAATAAATTTAAAACATATAAACAATAAATAAAATACGTAAATACCGTGTAATAAAATGAAAACTATATTTACTATTCGTAAACCGTCGGCTTCGGCATCTTAAACATGGCCGCGAGATCAGCCACTTTCATGCTTCGCAATAAGTTCTTTTCATCTCAGTCGTCGATACTTTCCCTTACTTGCTAGATTTCGTTGTTTCCAAGCACTTTTCGGATGCCATGGTAATAAGTAAAGATTTTATATAGCTTAAAATAATAGTCAAATACGTATTTTACTATAATTTTAGAACTTATTACGCCATATTTTTTTTAGGAAACTTGACTTAAACCTTTTTATTGACAAGACTGTCTTGTTTATAAAATCGTACTGCCCGATTTTCTTACCAGCATACAGGTATGAAGAAGTACAGTACATGTCGAGAGTTGATATTTGGCACAGAGTATTAGGTACCCAAATCATTTGCGCATAAAAAATCCAGATTCTTAGGTAGTCGGGGCCGAGAATCGAGTCAAAATAAAATACAAAATGACGACCCTCTTCTACAAACAGGCAAAACAGCCACCTCATCTCACCGAAGTCAGGTAGGGGAGAGTACCACCCACAGTCATTCTAAAAGTGAACTCTGACCTTAGGACTGAATACGTAGTTCCTTCTATGTTAAATAAAATTTGTAATCTAATTTTGTAAATTTGGGAGTGCTTCAAATATGATGTTAAAACAGTTTTATGTCGTTACAAGTGGGTTTTTTTAACATTATCTAGTATAGTAAAATCGTGGGACCAATAAAAATTTGATATTATATTAGGGTTGTCGTTACATCCGATGACGTTATAATCGGGTTAAACTGTATATTGTTTGTGCAAAAAAAAATAATTTCGGACGATATGATAGCCACGATTATTTTTTTCAAAAACGGGAAATTTTCGTTACGTATCAACAAAAATTCAACCCAGGCCGACACGCAACGGAGAGAAATTTCGAAATTGGATAATTTAATTTTCTCGAAAATGCATCGTGGACGATCTCGTGGTCGTGGCTGGCGAAGTTTGAACGATCGCGCCTAAAAGCAGCGATACCAAAGAAGATTGGAGAATGAGAACGAGACCCACCTTGATAGATCCGGCCCTACCATAGGGCGAACGGAGCAGCCGCTCCAGGCGCTAAGTCCTCAGTGGTAAAGAAAATTAAAGGGTATAAATTAGGGGCAACCAAAGGGGCGCCATAATAGGATCTCGCTCCAACCTAAAACTTGCCTAGGCCGGCACTGCACCTTGAGCGTCAAAGTGATTCTGCTTAGTAGATTCTCCAAGACAGTCTTTGCCCAAATACGGTTTTGCCGTTTTACTTGTTTTTTAATAAATTCTTACTCCAATATGTACATTTCGAGTTTTTTCACCTCTTCAGTACAGGTTATGTTTGTTAGTTTGAACAGAAAGTTTTTGCGTGTTTTTTATGAGTTCACGTTACATGTGATTTTAATTATAACAGTTGTGAAATTTAAAACATCATTGCTAATTTGATATTGTATTTCTATGTTTAGAAGCTTATCTTAAGCTTCGAGCGCATATTTTCACTGCTCGCACAATTCGAATTTTGAAGCATTGTTCGAACTCTGAAATAAATTTTTGTTCAATTTAGCTTCGAACTCTGAAGCGTTCGAAGTACGAGGTACAAATATATAAATTATCTTTGAGAAGTACAGTATATTTATTTTTAATATTTTACAAACTTTGCATTTAAAAATTTTTAAAGTAATTTTTATATTTTTACTCTAATTTATTGTTTTATTTATCGAATATTTGATTATAAGAAACTCATAGTCGGAAATGTGATTTAAAGTTTCTATAGCGGTAAGAAGTGCTTGACCGCCCTTCACTTTAGTAGCTACCCTTCTGTCCATTACATCATGCTATTGTTCTAGACTTCTTCCTCTGGGATTATGTAAAGTCCCTTGTGTACGCAACACCTGTAGGAACAGTTCATGAGCTTACGAAGCTCATCTTTACAGTATTTAATACTATCAGAGGGGAGCGTGTCATCTTACAGAGAGTCGGACAAAACATGGTTCGTCGTTACACATTATGTAACGAAGTTGGTGGTCGTCACATTGAACATTTACTCCTAAAGAAGTGCAGCCACTGATTCGATGTACAGTTTGATTGTACTCTACTGTTTTGTCAATAAAACTTGTAAATACTGTATTCTGCTGTTTCATTCAGCATAACGACTGCAAAGTGCAAAGTGCTGTAGAAACTTTATATCACATTTCCGGTTATGGGTTCCTTATATCAAAACGTTCAAAATTTCATCCTCTACAATCCCCCAAATTTTTAAAACCTCATTCTGATACACTCTGTATATATAATAAATTTAAAACATATAAACAATAAATAAAATACGTAAATACCGTGTAATAAAATGAAAACTATATTTACTATTCGTAAACCGTCGGCTTCGGCATCTTAAACATGGCCGCGAGATCAGCCACTTTCATGCTTCGCAATAAGTTCTTTTCATCTCAGTCGTCGATACTTTCCCTTACTTGCTAGATTTCGTTGTTTCCAAGCACTTTTCGGATGCCATGGTAATAAGTAAAGATTTTATATAGCTTAAAATAATAGTCAAATACGTATTTTACTATAATTTTAGAACTTATTACGCCATATTTTTTTTAGGAAACTTGACTTAAACCTTTTTATTGACAAGACTGTCTTGTTTATAAAATCGTACTGCCCGATTTTCTTACCAGCATACAGGTATGAAGAAGTACAGTACATGTCGAGAGTTGATATTTGGCACAGAGTATTAGGTACCCAAATCATTTGCGCATAAAAAATCCAGATTCTTAGGTAGTCGGGGCCGAGAATCGAGTCAAAATAAAATACAAAATGACGACCCTCTTCTACAAACAGGCAAAACAGCCACCTCATCTCACCGAAGTCAGGTAGGGGAGAGTACCACCCACAGTCATTCTAAAAGTGAACTCTGACCTTAGGACTGAATACGTAGTTCCTTCTATGTTAAATAAAATTTGTAATCTAATTTTGTAAATTTGGGAGTGCTTCAAATATGATGTTAAAACAGTTTTATGTCGTTACAAGTGGGTTTTTTTTAACATTATCTAGTATAGTAAAATCGNTTTCATTAGAATTGTGAAAAAGTACATTCTTAATTCGTAGAGATTTAAATAGTTTGTTAAAAAAAATATATATATATATATATATATAATTAAAAGTTTATTTTTTATAGATATCTGGCAGGACTGTCAGTAGAGAAGCGCATGAAGACACATGTAGAATTACTTTTGTTTGCAGTTAAATACGAAATACCTAGATTATTAGAGGGGTGTAAGGTATTTATCATGAGCAATTTAAACGATAAAAATGTTTGCTACGTATATGAAACTTTAACATCAAATAATATTCATGATGGAGATATTTTTTACAAATGCTGGAGAATATTTGACTATTGCTGGAAAAGCATTTTTAGCCAACGTGCATTTTTAACTTGTTCACCAACAGTTATTTTAACATTTGTATTAAGAGAAATTTATAACAACATGAAAGAAGAAGAACTTTTTAAAGCACTCGTTAAATGGGGTACATATAAAACTATCATGGAATGTAGCACCACAAACACAAAAGTCGTTAGGGAAACAATATCAGTATACATGTCTAAAATTAGATTTATGAGTATGTCCATACAAACTTTAGAAAAAGAAATTTTTCCAATGGGGATATTATATGATGAAGAAATTGCAGCTATTAGAAAAGCTTTTCGTAGGAGAAGATTAGAAGGATTACCATCTACTATATGTCAAAATTTAAGAAATAGGAAAGTACTTCCTAATTATCGTGTTCTTCTGGAGCATGTAGTCCAAATTATCAGCTTGGACACAAATGATAAAATGGTAAAAAATACAGACAATTTCATTTGTTCATGCACTGTTAAAGGTCAATGTTTCTTTCGGGCATTTGCACTTCCCATAGAGAATATGTCAAACGAATCCATTGTAGTTAATTTATATATATTTGTAGATGACAAGATTTATAAATATAAAATAGAAAATTTACTAGTTTGTGATTATAATCAAATTTGTATTAAACCACCATTATTCTTACATTATGATGCTATAATTAATGGTGTCGTCACAATAAGTAATATATCTACTACTTCTAAAATAGTCCTTACAAAAGGTACACCTCAAATTATTCCCAAAAATTTCCTTTTACATCATGTGTGCTTAGAAGGACGTTATTTTTTAATAGATGAAATACTGCTTTATTTTTAAAATTTAATTAATTCAATAATACTTAATAGAAAAACGAATATTTCTATATTTTTGAAATGTCATCAAAATAAGTTATATAAACTTTTAAATTTTATTATAAAATATATATTTACAGCATTTTAATGTTTCTTGTCTAATGGATTTGTCATAAAAAACACTTCTAATTATTTTATTTAATATATTGTATACTGTTATATTAAATACATTAATTTACGATTGCATTTTATGTAAAGCAATTATTTATAAAATAATCTTAATATAATGTGCTGAACAATAAAGATAATTTTCTTGAATTGGACGTGTAACTTATTTTGTCATATTTATTTCAAATTTACGAAATTTTCTAAATACAGTTTCAAAATAAAATTATAAAAATATTTTCAAACATTAATTTCGTTACAAATTCCGATTACGCATTCAGAAGTCATATATAAAATTATTATTAAAATCTATTTTAATAATAATAATAGTATTTTATTTTAAAATATTTCCGTTTAAAGTAATTTCACTTTCTCGGCTGTTATCTATACATAACAAGGGAGAGAATTTGAATCGTGTCAAATTTGACCCTCAGTTTTTTTTTTCAAATCTTCCTGTTTTGAGGCCACCTGAACTCAAAAAAGTCTTTAAAAAATGGAAAAAATATTCCGCGTGTTTGTGTTGAGACAGTGGCGTAGCGTGGGTGTCAGCCGCCCGGGGCAAAAGAAAATTTCGCCGCCCCTTATTTAGGTATCTCAATTTAAAAGACTAAAATTCAATTCCGTCACAGAATAAGTAATGAAAAATTCCGTGCTAGTGTTGCCACCTTCTTAAAATCGCCGACCCTGACGCAGTGCTGTGCGATGTCTATAATTTTAACATCGATGTCAAACATCGATGTTTGCCTAAACATCGATGCTAAATTTCGATGTCGGATTTCACATCGATGTTTGATCGATGCCCATTGGAACAACGATGTTTAATCAAGATAAACTCACACAATTAAAAAAAAACAAAACTTAATTTTATTTTCAACTTGTATAGTTCAGTTACAGTTCCAATGCATACAGTTTTTTAATTGATAATGAATTTAAAACTAGAAGTTTGTGTACATTCTTTGGCTTTAAAGAACTCCGCTTTTTGTTGATAGTATTTCCAGCTTTGGATAATAATCTTTTACTGGAACTGAAGTGGCAGGAATGCAAAGCCACTTCATGGCAAGTTCACATAAATTATAGTTAAAAAATTTCATGGATTTCCACACATCCAAAGCATTACTATTGTGAGGCACAATAGGGTCATCTAAAAAAGTTTTAAAATTTGAATTTAAAGTTGCATTTGTGTTAACATTTCTATCTTAATATCAATTTTTCTGGATGACCAAAGGTCATCATCTTCAAGTTTATTTTCTGCATTATTGTGGAAACTTATTTGAGCCTCAGCAGAGGGAAATTTACAAAGTTCTGCATTTACACATTTAATTGCATTTGCACAACATGCTGGACTTTTAAAATCTAGCTTTTTGAACCTTGGGTCTAGTAATGTGGAAACACTATATACTAACTTCGTCTCAGTGGATTTAAAACGGAAATCAAGATTACTAAAACATTTTTCCAGCAACTTCTTTCCCACATTTGTTTCTGTAGAAACCTTGCAAAGTGCATTAAACATTAACCCTAAAAATGGGATAATTTTACTGATGGTAGTGTGAGTTTCTGCTGAAATTTCATTAGTTACTTTATAAAAAGGTTTTAGTACTTTAAGCGCATCATTCAAAGCACTTAATTCTCTACCAGAGAGCATGTCGGGTGCCCCTGGAAACTTTTGCAATGTTAGTGTAACAAAATTTTTTAGTAGTACAAATCTCTCAATCATCAAGAAATACGAATTCCATCGAGTCTCAACATGCTGAATTAATTTTAATGCCACAGAACCTTTTTCATTCTGCGATGAGTCGGCGTAAACAGACTAACATGGCAGAGTTGAGGATGAGTTTCAATGAGTGTGAGTTCGTTCACTGTTAAAATAGTGTAAATTTGTAAACATATTTGCAAGAACTTTGTTTCATCGCAATTTCTACGAAATTCCCGGACTGTCCGGGTGAAAACCGAACAGGTGGTAACACTAGGAACAAAGAATGAACTGCATGCATCGATGAATCAAAATTCACATATTGCTAACATCGATTCAGGATCGATGTTTCAAAAACATCGGAAGGTCGATGCATCGACGAACAAAAACATCGATGTATCGATGTGACATCGATGCATCGCACAGCACTACCCTGACGACAGGTGAGGTTTGTTCGAACAGAAGTTCCTGACGCATGCGTATATCATTTTGCAATGAAGAATAATTTGCAGTGCATGCTGGTTCTCAATCAGTTACAGTTAGCGACTAGGGAGACTTGGGTAGGAGTAACGTAAGTAATCTAGATGACTTAGCCGTATTGGATATTGGAGGTGTATATGAGTAGAAATGAATCGTACAAGAAAAAAAAAAGAAAGATCGACACGATATCCCCGGGCGGCGAGTCGCTGATGGTAACACTATTCCCACTATTCCGTGCTCATTTCAATCGGTCCGAATCGTACGTGGACGAAAATGGTTCAAATTCTTACAAGATATTATTACAGTATTATTGTCAAATTTTGCCGCCCCCCTACGCTACGCTACTGTGTTGAGATCTATAAGAAACGAAATTTAACGTATCTTGTGCATAAGGAGCATTGATGCTACTAAATTTTGGTGGTTAAAGGTTAAAGGGGTGTGAAGACGGGTGTCATATGTCATATCTGGAGAGAGGTCAGACTTAATGAAGATGCTATTCGTTATTAACATTTACAATTTATTTTCTTTTCTTTTTTTTATAAAACCCATCACTACTCTCAAAATTTTTGCCATTCGATAATAATTAAAAATATAAAAAGTTACAAGTAAAAGTTTCTTCTAATAGTAGGACTAGTGATATTTATCATTTCTTTCTTAATTATCCACAATTAACACAGACCAAGATTAAAACAGTTACTTTATCGTGTATTTAACAATGCATTTCGGATAGGTAATTTTCCAATCCCTTTTTAGGCTCACGGCTTCAGTATCTAATGTTATCTACAACATAACAAACAAAAGGTTAGTTTATGTTAATATGCTTTTGTTATCCAGAATGATTGATATAGTGAACAATTTGTACACATCCTAATAATTCAGTTTTTACATATCATTCTCTTTCAATTACTGGCGTGTTTTCTTTGCCTATTTTTGATGGGCAAATGCAACACTTCCTCAATTTCCCACAATTATTAGCTCATTACCTTTCAGAAGGATTTTTACTTCAACAACGTGGTTCATAACATGACAAAGATGAAAATATTTACAATGAAAAACTAAATCTTGACAAGTTGAAACCAAAATTTTCACAAAAACTACAACTATAATAAAAACACAAGAACACTACTTATATTCTGCAGAAGAAAAAAACACTGTCCGAAAAAAATCAACAACGTACTGAGTATAGTACAAATCAGACTGACCTGAGTACACTATAAATAAATAATCATATGGCTGAGATCAAAGCCCTTTCAAGACCTGGCTCATACTTAGATTATAAAAATATTATTATATTGAGGATTAGGCAATATATTTACCACTTTAAACTCTGATATTATTTTTTTTATAATAAATAAAATCTAGAAAATAGTTAAATTCGAGACGAAACGATCTAGATTTATATCATTTATCTAATTGCCTAAATGTCAAATCTAGGGAAAAACAAAATCTAGATTTAGATGAGAAAAAAAATAGATTCTGAAGTGACAATCCTGCCCAACATGTGGCACAGACTTTAATATTTTGACTTAAAGTAAAATGGCAGGCGATAGTACCCTTCGTTGCCACCAAGAGCGCTGTATTTAAGGTCACAGCCACTCTATGTAGTACAGGGGTGGCCAACACGAGGCCCACGGGCCGCATGCGGCCCGCCGGGAGTCATGTTGCGGCCCGCGGAGCTAGGTCAAATGAACGTAAATGTTAACTTTATTGTACATATCACCAAAAGAACATTACGTCATGAGTTATTGGTATCATGTATTTTTAAATTATAGCTAAGAGAAATTTGAAATATCTTTCGTTTTTGGAAAAATTCATAGATTTTTAGCTATTTCAAATATCCCGCTATTTGACACTCAGGGTTACTTAGTTTTTTGTCCGACGCTAGGTGTTGATAAAATTTAATATGAGACGAACTTCAGCTATATATGTTCTGTGGTCTTCGGCGTTTTCGGGAAGCTCGCAATGCTATCGGGCTCATACTCATAACTACTTTCAGTCCAGCTTGACAAAGTTCCGTGTTATTCTGTAGTTTCGTTTTATTATCGCCAATGCATCTGGAGATATTTTGCAATCGACAGCACTCAAAGTCAGATGTCTCACTTTTAAATATTTTTAAATTGTCTAATAAATATGTTCGATTCTCGGCTATGTTTTATTTTCTTCAAAAAAATAAATATATCTATTTTTTGTGTTTTTTTACATTAAACCAGGCAAGTGTTTGACCACGATCTCACCTACCGGGAAGCGACGATGTGATTGAATCTGTATCACGCTTGCTTGTTTACTTTAATTTAAAAAAAAATAGGTGCGTGGCCCGGCAGGAAATATTTCTGAAATTTGGCCCGCCTTCTGAAAACGTTGGCCACCCCTGATGTAGTATGTTCTAGCTTTTTGGCCGATACCGTGGTTAATTAAATGTATAGATATTATTGTAATATTGGCTAAAAGTAAGCGATTAAACCGCCATCTTATATTAATATTTTAAATTAATTACCTGAGAATTTTCTAATTATTGTGTTAAATTTAATTCAAGATGGCGACTTAATAGCCTACTTTTAGTCAAAATTACATATCTATACATTTAATTAACCACGATATAGCCGGATAATGAATCCGGCGTTATCATTTAATTATTGTCTAACTTAAAGTATTAAAAATTATTTTAAATTAGATAATTAACAATTTAAATAACTTAAACGTTAAAATAAGTATGGTTACTGTACAGTTTAAGGAATGACTGTTTTATTTTAACTTTAGTTACATTTTTACAAATTATTAATAGGTCTTTATCAAAATATATTAGGATTTCATACAAATATGAATATTTTAAAAACTTTTGTACTAGGTTAAAGATAAGAGAGAGAATATTAGATGGCCAGATGTTCGAAGTGATAAGCATCAGTCTACATACTACCACCCTGAAGAATCCAAGTTCGAGTCTAGATTGTATTCTCAGAAATGTTTATAATGGCGTGACCCATATATGTTGGATCACTTCCTTCACCATCTAGTCGCTCCATAACGGCATGAATTATAATGGATAAGAATCCATAATGAATACGAAAACAGATACTGTTGTGCCCACAGGGAGGGAAAAAACTTTAAAAGAAAGGTCAACTATTAGAAAAATATTAGTTTATTTTAAATGATATTTCTGTTACATCTGCTTAGAAATGAAATAAAAATTTACTATCTGCTAAATCTCAAAAAACAAGATTTTTCATCTTTGTCTATTTCTACCCTGGGCGCACTTAAAAAACCTTTTTTTCTATATCCAATGCGGGTTCGGCCAGCCCATAGTGGGAGCGACTGGGTGGTGAAGAACGGAACCCAACATATCTAAGACAGGCCACAAAAAATTCTGGGGTTACCCACCCGAATTGATCCCAAATCCCCACAACGGTTGTCTGGCGTCTTAACTGCCTTGATCATCCATTTCAAAGACTATTCTTCTGCTTCTTCTTTTGCTGCAGTCATAAGTGCAGGATTGATACGTTGTTCCGCTTCGCCTGCCAGTGATGCTATAACTGCAGGTGCTAAACGTTGTTCTGCTTCGCCTGCCAGTGATGCTACAACTGCAGGTGCTAAACGTTGTTCTGCTTTGCCTGCCAGTGATGCTACAACTGCAGGTGCTAAACGTTGTTCTGCTTTGCCTGCCAGTGATGCTACAACTGCAGGTGCTAAACGTTGTTCTGCTTCGCCTGCCAATGATGCTATAACTGCAGGTGCTAAACGTTGTTCTGCTTCACTTGTTGCTGCAGCCCTAAGCGCAGGATCAACACGTGCATCAAAATTCTTCAAGTTATTTAAATAATTATTCTTGTATAATCGTTCTTGATCGTTTTCGTGACAAACTGAAAATATACTTAAAATGTATTATAATCTTATTCCGAAAAATATTTATTTGCAAAATTTTTTAATTTGAAATTTAAAACTTAAGTGAATTTTTAACTGCTTCGATTTACAGTATAATTTTCATATGGATACAATTTCTGTAATTACTCAGGATTTTTATATTTCTTCTTAAATGAAGTTAAGACTATTTACAAAAATATAAAATTTTGAGTCTATCTTAATCCTTTTTTTACACCACCCCAGAAGTAACAGTCAACATGGGTTTTTTCTTTTTGAAGAATATACTTCTTAAAAACAAAGGTAAATAAACAGTAAAAAACAATTCACAATGTTAAAAACGATCAAGTGTCAGCCTTCTGTTTTTATATTTTTGTAAATAGTCTTAACTTCATTTAAGAAGAAATATAATTTTCATGTAGAAATAATCAATATCAATCAAAAATATTATTTTAAGAATACACGAATGCTAAGTACAGTACAGGGCCTAATATTTTTCAGCGAAGAGAAAAAAGTAATTCATGATATGACAGCAGTAATTTATTTGAAATACAGTAATACCTCGACTTACGCTACCCAGACTTACGCGAACCCGGAGTTACGCGATTTTCAAATCTCGTCGATTCGTCTTTTGTTTGAGTGCCACGCAACTCTCGATTACTCACTCCCACCACACTATTGTTCGGCTTACATGTTCGGACGTGTCGCGCGGAATAGACGCATAGCTACAATTTATTTTGTGTTATTTATTTCTGTGTTTGTTATATCTACGGAGACTTCAGAGACTCTATGAGATGATTTCTTGTAACCGTGAACGAATCAAAAGACGAAATAAGATTAACGAGAACATTTATTAGCTTACATACATCCGACTTGGATTTTACACAAATTGCGAAATTATACTCCGACTTACGCGAATTCGATTTACGCGGTTATCGCTCGGTCCCACCTAGCGCGTAAGTTCGGGGTACTACTGTATAATCAAAATATTTGGTAAATGATATGTGAATTTGCATAAAAAAGGGTTTTTTTAAATAAACTACAATTTTTGTTACAGACAATGTGTTCTGTTTATCAATTCTTTTATATTTTATTATTAGCTATGTAAATAATAATGCAAAATGTTTTTTATTAGGTTATGTAGTAAAATACTTTTTATATTAGTTTTAATATTTCGTTAAATAACAACTTAAGTAACTTATGTATTATTATATAGTAAAATAAGATAAAACTATAAAGTTTTATATAATAAAACTATAGTTTACAATTATTATCAACTAACTTCAAAAGAAAAAATTCGAAATTTAAACTAGTCTCAATGTAGATTTATGCCTAATTTCTAAGTGGATTTTATAATAATTTATGAAAATCAAATATACATATATATATTATCTATGTGATTTAGCATATACATACTTTGTTGTTGAAAGCAATTCAAAAATATGATAATTGATGTTAGGAAAAATATCTTCATTTTCAACTTTGATGTTAAAATCTATAAGAGAAATATTTCATAAATACTGTGTAAAATATTTTACAATTATTGATATTACTTTTAAAATTATTAAATTTTAAAAAGCGTATTATAATTACGGTAACCATATATAATTCATTTAAAAGACGATAGTCCTTTAGGTTAATTTATTTTTCTCTGAAAGGGTCATTTTGTCTTATTTTGAATTGAAATATTAAATATTAATTATAATTAATATAATTAAATTGAATATTGATGGCGCCGGCACACGCCACCAATATTTAATTTAATATTTCAATTCAAAATAAAAGACAAAATGGCCATTTTAAAAAAACATTAATTAATCTAAAGGACATAACAGTGAAATAAAAGACTATCGTCTTAGCCTAAATAATGCCTCCCTGAATCTAATGTCCCCACTGAACGAGTATTTTCATTAGTGAAAAATATGTAGGCCAGTGTGAAAAAAACCTATTAAAAATCGAAACATTGGAAGCATTTATGTCAAGTACAACTATGATATGAATTTTATATAATTTTATGAATTTTTAAAACATAAATCTGATATATTAATTTAAAAAGTTCATTCTTGTGAAAAGTATCAATTTTTTTTAAAAAATAATAATGTTTATATTAATTAAATTATCCACAACCGTGAGGCAGATAATAGTGAGGGCTTATCAGACCAATGATAGGCACAAACGTATTCACACTTATGTAGTAATTTTTTGTGTTTATTAAATTGTTTTCATTTTGATCCCTGAGCGTTTGTGCCAATCATTGGTCTGATAAACCATCACTATTATCTGCCTCACGGTTGTGGATAATTTAATTAATATAATTATATCAATGGCTAGAAGCAACTTTTGTAATAATTTTATAATAATGTTTGTTTAAATGCTACGTATACGCGACCTGCTTCTTTAATTATAAAATAATTTCTGATTTATCCCTTTATTTTTCTAAAAAAATTATGGTACCGTAATTGTAATAAAAATTTTTTTAAATATACATTATACAGGAAATCCTCGTTAGTTCAAAATTTAAAAAACGAAATAATTGCGACTTCGAATTATCCGAAATTTGCGCGTTTCTGTACAATATGCCAAATGTCTTGTTCGGGATGTCAGTACTTGCATCCGGTAGAGGAAGTATCCGTAAGGATGATAGAACGTAAAGTATCCGCAAGGGTGTTAGACGATGGTACGATGTTTTCCAATGATATTTTAGTGAGATATAAAAACGTAGAATAAAATGTTATATTCACAGATATCCGAATATTGAGGCACTTAAGACAAGGTACGAGTGACAACTTCTCTTTCGAAAGACGGGCGACGACTGCCTGCTTTGTTGTCTGTTTTTTTCATGCTGGATTGTTTGAAACGGAGATATTAGGTCGAAAGGTGCTGAGAAAGCGTCGTTATTAAGCCTGAGAACTTAGCAGATGTTTAGCTCCCAGGTGTAAAAGTTGACACTTATCGAATGAAAGTATAGCTACAATGTGAAATGATAAAGTGATATAAACACACGGAAAGTCCGAATTCGGATCCTCACACTATGCAGCACTGGAGAACAACACTGCATCTCAGGGTTAGTAACACTTCCATACAAACAACTAAATATTCATTAGGAAAGGAATTTTTCAAGGAGATTCCTTGAGTCCTCTCTGGTTCTGCCTAGCTCTGAACCCATTATCCAACATGTTAAACAACACGCATTATGGCTACAATATCAGACATGAAAAAACAACACAGTTTACGCTGTTACATCTTATGTACATGGACGACATAAAACTTTATGCAACCACACAAAAACCACTTCATCAACTCCTACAAATCACACATTTGTACACTAAGAACATACAAATGGAGTTTGGCCTAGACAAATGCAAAACACTTCACATAGAAAAAGGAATCCTGAAGAAAGAAGATTTCGCACTTGGAAATGGGGACATTATTGAATCCATGGAAGAGGGTGAGTTCTACAAGTATTTAGGATTCCAACAGGCCAAACTAACAGAACATACACAAATAAAGCAAAGATTAATTAAAGAATACAAAAGTAGGTTAAATGCTATCCTCAGAACACAGCTAAATGCAAAACACACAGTTAAAGCAATAAACACATATGTCATCCCAGTACTTACATACTCTTTTGGAGTTATACATTGGACTCACACAGATCTC